TCTCTCTCTCTCTCTCTCTCTCTCTCTCTCTCTCTCTCTCTCTCTCTACTATGGATAACAGAGACTGCTTATACGACGCAGTACAGCACATGCCAAAGGCAAAGAAGAAAGTTGTTTCATCAATGACATCATTCATTCTCCGAAAAATACAGACGCACGTTAACACGTGGCTATCAACAGTGGTCACATGAAGCGCAAGAGAAATGATAAGTGATGAGTGATGCGAATCCACCATCGTCAATGAAGACGATAATACCCAAGTCCATACCTCCGTACGGTCAACTACCTCTGTACGGTCCAACTCCTTACGGTCCACCAACCCTATCGCTGCCAGTCAGCAAAGAGGACAGACTACGTCGCCCTTAGTCAATATATTGCCTACTCACTCCCTGCCATGACGTCAATTCGTCGGTAACACGCCAAACGAAACCATACCGACCCTCCGACAATTCCAGGGTCAAAACACAAATTTATGTCAGTTCGACAGCTCGAAACCTAAAAAAACAACAACCCCCCAATGCTACTTCCCACTCTCAGGTACAGGGTTCGAAACTCTTAAACCAAACCAAACAAAACAAACAAAACAGCAATCCAAACAGTGTTAGGTCCCTGTTCGAGACCACAGGACTGGTGTCGGTTCATAGGGTACTCCTGGTCCAAACAAACCGTCGCCACTCCCGATCCTTCAGTACTAAAAGCTTCAAAACAAAGCAAACGAAAAACAACAACCTCAGTCTACCTACGCAATCATATGCTGCAAACCTGATCAGATTCAGCCTAGTCTACGAGTAATGGTGCGACTATCGAAAAGCAACATGGAGAGCAACTTCCATATCGGTTTCTTTCCCCTGCTGAAGTTCCGCAGTGCAGCATCAAACCAATGTCTGGGGTAGTTGCATTTGCTGAGTTCTGTCCTCATCAAAATCAGAGTGTTCACTAATTCCATTCCCATATGTGAATTTTGATAAATCCTGTGTAGTGCACTCACTATAGCTGCCATTTTTGCTTGCTTAGAATTCCAGGAATCAAAGTCTTGGAAGGTGCGGAAAAGGAGAGCTTCTCCATTACACAATTGCTCCCCGTTCTTCATCGTCAACACAGTGCCAAGAAATAGAAAATTTTGGATAATTGACAGTTTACAGCCCAAGAAATTTCAGTGGTCCTCCCCCTCAGCAGTCCGTTTCACCGTGAGTGCCTTGTCATAGCACCCTTCGAATTGCCTCAAGAAATCCACTGACTTCTCTTTGTCACCTACTTTCCTACGGTTGTAAGCAGCAAAGACGGATACATCATTCACAAATCGCAGCCCAACAAAAATTCTTCTCTGACTACCCAATGTAATCATGAAGTCCCATTCATGCTTCGCACACATGAGGCATGCAAATGGGGGGCTCAAACGTTTCCCCATTGGTATGCGAGTCACCTGTTGGATCAATATTCCACATGCCTTTGTATGACAAAAGTCGAGCTCGAAAGAAACAAACTGTAGAAGTGTTCCGAACGAAACGAAAACAAACCCATTTATTTGGCTACATTTACTCAAACGAGCAAGTCTCCCTCTTCTTTGTACGAAGACTCCGTTATAGCCTTTCTTCGAAAACCACCAGATTGCCCATTCGATTGCAGACAAAATTGTTGCATGGGGAAGTCGGTTGAAGAGATCTTTGATGTTGAAGGAGACTCCAACGATACCCGCATTCTGCCTACTCTTCCTAAGTCGATTGTTAATCGAACTCAGTTTGGATTTTATCCCTAACACCGATCGCAGATTCAGGTGTCCAGATTCAGGTAATGAGAACAGCAGATAATTGATTCCCTTCGCCACCAATTTGCATGCTTCAACCGAAGGTTCACTGTAAGTGGGGCAAATGGGCCGCCACTTCGCAGTGTCCTTATGTTTAGGCAATACGTAAGCATTGCCATATCCTCCTCGCGAATCCCATTTTCCCAGAGAAGAAAACCCGACAGAATGAAACTCCGACTTGGCTCGCCATAAAATCTCTTGCTCCCTATCAACACTCACTCGATAGCAATCGCTGGTCAGAAATATTTCCTCCATACCGGTATCGTACAGTCGAGGACACATAATCAATGTATCCCCTGAATTCCTGTCCAAGGGGGTCAGAACGAGTCCAGTCAGTCTATCTTTAAACGCCAAAACATCATTCAACTGGTTCTTCATTGACTGCTCGGTATTCTCTACAAAGCAATTTGAAACATCCGCTGGTGATACAGTGAACTCCTCCTTCGTCAGCCTCGAAATCTCTCTCCAGATATCGAAAGCAGAGGTCAACTCTCTTCCTAACGGTCGATCCCTCTGATCCAGATCGCCGCGAGGTATGTTTTTTGCATTACGAATGATCGTAGGTATGCCAGTCATTTCGTCGATACGGAGATGAACGTGCCCATTCCGTTTAGGGAGGGTCAGCCCAGCACAGGGACAGCTGGACGCACGCACCGAAGCGAACTGTCAGTGGTTGTGGAGAATCTCGCCCACATTCGGGCATCTCTTCCAAACAACGCATGCACGCCTCTTTACCATCTCTTTAATCGGTGTCTATAACTTCATACTCCCCACCTTCTTCCTCACCACCCTCATAACCTCACTTTTTCTAATCCTATCATCAAATTGCACCTTCGCTATGATCCTGGTTCGAATATTCACATCAAAATTCTCACGTATAGCTCTAGAAATCATCGTCCTCGCCTTCGACCTACTTTTCTTTGTCGTGAAAGCCTTTACCGCACAGTAGTACCTAGCCAGCTCGGATAAATTCTTCTTCTTCAGATTCGCCCTCTTCCTTGGATTTTTGAACATGCTAACCATCTCATCTCGTAGAGCTAAAATGGTCGGCGACGCTTCCGTAACTCTGCAGATTGTGACCTTCCCCTCGGTTTCGAAATACTTCTTACATTTTCGTAGCGCACGCGTCCCGCTTTTAACTTTCACTCAACTCTCGCCAAACAATCTTCTCACTACTCGCTATCCGTCAGCCCAGGTGTTCCCGCCATTACAGTAGAGAGTAAATTCTACTTTCTTTTTAGTCAATATGCGAAGAGTCTCAACAACTTTCACGGTGCCAACGTCCTTCCCCTCCAGCCGAACTTCCACGATCTTCGTGCTCAACTTCTTGTATTCATCCGTATTCCTACTACAGCCCTTTGACTATTTCTTCCGCTCTTTTGTTTCCTTTTGCTTTTTCTATTTTTGTTTCCATTTCTTCCGCTCTTTTCTTCTTGCTCTCCTTTCTTCGGCGCCTTCCTCACTTTGACTAATCTGACGTTCAGCGATGGTGACCAGTGCCTGATCAAGGTACTCTCAACGGCCTCTAGTTCTGAACGGTCCTCACTCGTAAACACAGGTATGGCAACGTATCAGTGAGCACCTACCTTCCCAAGCCAATTATACAGTTTCCTCCTCCTCTTACCGTTCTTACGTCCCAGACTAAAGTGCTCACGCCATCTCGCCCATAATCCCCTTTGCGTAACACCAATATAGGTTTGTTTGTACCAGGGGGAAATCAGTAGGTACACGCAACTACGAGGTTCGGACAAATCAAAACTTCCTTTCTCAATTTCGACATACCAGTTCTCCACGAATTTCTCACCCCACTTTAGACGTCCTTGAAGAATCAGACCTGGCAGCTCGTAGGATACTCTCGTCTTCTTTACATCTTCCATTGTTTCTTAGTCTTCTTTCGCACACACTTTCAGCGATCCTCAGGTAGTCGTCGCAACGACCGGGTCCTCAGTCAGAGTCCTCGTCTGAGTATGATGCATCGGAGCCAGAAAAGTCTGCGGTGGCATCCTCCTTGACTTCTTTGATCGTCACTTTTTTGGTGGTCCTCGTCCCCGTTCTCGGAGTCAACGGCAGTGGAATATTGGCCGGATCGTAAGCCACCGCCGATCTGCGAATTACGAGCCTCTTGATAGCCAGATCTCTCTTGCCATACACCACCTTCTCGCGACGGCATGCTTCCTTGAGTTCCTCGATCGTCAAGGAGTCATAGAAATCGTGGTAGTCTTGCTCGAATCTTTCTTTACCGTCGACGCCACATGATGCAGATATTAGCTTGAGTGATAGGTCGATCTTCGAAGGTGTACTCGTCGTCCCTGAGTCCGATCCAAGTTCCCGCTTCAACGTTTCAATGCGCATCTTAGATTCTTCTGTCAACTTCGTATTAACCCGCTTCTCCGGTGTTACCATTGGTAGGCTGTTCCCAACAGATGCATCAGGACCACGTTTCCTCTTCTCGATTAAATTCATCTTTGCGGCCATCCTCCTTAAGGTACGTAGTTCTTCGTCTTCGACTTCTTCGGGAGTTTCGAGGATCTCCGGAGCAATCAGGCGACGCAACTTCTCCTTCTCGGCCTCGATCGCCTCGTTTCGCCCGGAGGTCCGGGTAACTCCCTTCCCTTTCCTTTCGTAACGCTCCCTTTCTTCCTCCCTATCTTTTTGCATCTCGCTTCGAATAATTCGAAGTAAACGAGCTTCCCGCTCTTCCTCCAACTTAAGTCGTTCTTCTTGTCGTAACAACCTCCTATTCTCCTTTGCCCGTCTTACTTCTTCTTCCTTCCGCAGCCTCGCCTCCTCCGCTTCTCGTTCGACACGAAATCGTCGTTCTTCAGTCATTTGTATAAAGTATTCTCGCATCAGTGAGTTCGTATCGTCACCACCAAATCCTTTTCATCACTACTTTCACCCGATCGACTTCTTCGCGCCATGGTATTCGTACTCAGTGTCACGGCTCTCCCCCGTGTCTGAGTGTTGGTTTGTGTGGAAGGGACAAGCGTGCGTCCAAGCGCCTTCGCCTGCCAGTACTCCGCACAGTCGCGAATAAAGTGACCACCTTCCCCGCACTTGTAACATCTTCGATTATCGGGAGGTAACCCGCCACTCCCCCCTCCTTCCATATCCTCCCTAGAATCCGAACTCACACTCATCTAATCAACCAACACCGTCCTCTCAGTCAGGACAACTTTCCTGGTTCAGAGTATAAGTCGCCACTTCCTCTAGGTATGATTTCCTAGCTGGCGACTCTAAGTGAAAGGATAACAGAGACTGCTCATACGACTCTAGTTGGTTAGCTCTCTACTATGGTCTCTCTTTCTCTCTCTCTCTCTCTCTCTCTCTCTCTCTCTCTCTCTCTCTCTCTCTCTCTCTCTCTCTCTCTCTCTCTCTCCC